CTCGACAGATCAAATGGCGACGCTTTTTAGGCTGGCTAGTCCATGTGCTTTTCCAATCCAAAGAACAGCAGTCAATGGCATCAAGCCTATTGCCCTCGCCGCGTTGCTTCCACATTACCGGTTAGTTGACGAACAAAAGTATTTCACTCCAGTGAACCGGTTGGACCATCGCCTCTAACTCGTGTCTCCCATCCACTTTTTCTCTTTATCATCAGTGAAAAAACGGTGGCAGCTAAAACCATCGCACTTCAGTGAACTTTTTGCGGCCCGAAAATTGCACCAAAGCGAGCTGAATAGAAGTTATATAAACACACCAGAGAATTCTGTTGGAGCAAGGCAAGACATAATGACGTTTGCGAATCTCACGCAACCCAAGCCCTCAAACAATGACGGACAAGCGTTAGCTCCACAGTAAACTCGCCACTGGATTGGCTGCGTGCCATGCCCTTGGGGTTTCCAACTACGAGCAAGGTATATCACCCACCCAGTAAGCCTGGAAGATTCCACAGAGCTCAAACTGACACGAGTCACGTTCAGTTCACGTTGCTTCGTCACAGTCTGTCCTCCACGGACTTTTAGGCATAAAGGGTTAGGAATTTTAAGCACAACGTTTTACAGTAGACAGTGACCAGGCAAATGTAGAATATACCCCAAATATCTTGACCTGAGAACCCATATATGCTTGTTGAGACAGTCGTGCTAACAGACCTTCTCATTAAATGCACACTGCGTTAAGTTAACTTCTGCTATGCTGCGGAGAGGGTGATGATCAAATAAACAACTACGTCTGAGGTCTTCATATCAGAGGGGCCACGTTCCACAGATGTACGATAGGATATCTTTAGCGGTGATTTTCTAGACGCTGTTCTCCAACCTAGATAGTGTTTTATTTGTATCAATACAAACTCAACTGAAGTTTCAGTGGGGTGCAAGCAAGTAGGAAATTCCGAAGTAAGATCTTGCAGTCCGAAGCTTCACACTTCATATCGAAACGGGAGACCAGTTCCGATATTATATTTATGCTAGCTTGTGCAGAAGCGCGATCATCAAACAGGCTATTGATAGTCTTATCAATAGTACACTTAATCGTGGGAATGCTTTTAGTAAATTGTTCACCAGTTAAGATCCGTTGGACTGTTTCCCAGGCATATTTAAATCAGTCGTATGTCATCGTCCCACAAAAACATATGCGTTTTAATTGAGACGAATTTGATTTCACTGATTCTTATCGATCACACTCGAGGACGACGCCAGAATGCTATCCGCTGCGCTGCTAAACTGTACGGAAACAATCCAGAAAATAACCGGAAACCGAAATTCGTTCAGCCCAACTCCTTCATGACCCGGCTTCCTTCCTGTTGATGAAATCGAAGGCATATTGAGTATTCCAATATCTGGATTCACGCACCAAGTTTTTACCACTCACTCGGTGTTAGTGATTCGTTCGTGTTAAATTGTAATGAACCTATGAGAGTGTTGCTAACTCTCAGCGTGACTATGAAAAGTGCCCAAAACAATGCACAGCAATTCTGAACCGAGAAAAAGGGAATTGGTGTTACTTCCAAACAGCTGCAGCTGATTCATCAGTAGTGGTAGAAAATAGGTCCCCACCGATGGACCAGGCACGCTGAAATGTTAAAAACACGGAATACGTACTGAGGAAATCGCTCCGTTCAGGGACTAGTGGTTCAGTGTCAGCTTCGCATACAGATGACCTGAATGGTAACAATAAACAACAAATAGAACCCTGCTGCGCGCATTTGGACATTGAGATGCTTATTATTGTTGCGCAACCTCACCAGAAGAGGTAGGTTTTCTGTCCAGGAGGAGTGAAAATTTTACATTTACGAAATGCCCAAGACTGGTACAAGTCGTTCTGATCTACACCCCGTTAGTATTTCATGTGGTTTGGTAAGAAGCGAGTTAGTATCTGCTCCAAAAGAGAGTGGGCATGCAAAATGTTACTCACAGAGCCAGTAGAAGTATAGTGAGGATGTTTATAAGGCCTCTACAACAAAACGCTCAAGGGGGGCAAAATCAAGGTCAAGCTAGACAGAGCGGTGGTCTCATTATTTCCATACGCCGGTTTTTGTAGAGTATAAAGGCAACTACTCAATCTAGTGTCCATAAAAAATTCTTATTTTAATTTCTGATATAATTGATCATATAATGACCAGGATTCACTTAAAAATAGGGACATGATGAAAAGAATGAGTGACGCCGTCATTCTCACATGACGGTCCTGAGGTGTTTGAGTGTGTTTGTGGGAAGGGAGCTGCGGTAGAAACGCTCACCGAATCCACCCGAACCAAGAGAGGAGATGAAGCCTATCCAACGGTGCAGTAGATTTTACATTGTGTAGAGTTACATGATCGCTGACGGTAGACGATTTTGGAATACTTTTGTACTTCAGTGGCCGTTCACTTGTCAATACGTGCTTACTGGTAAAACGCATCATAACATGCATGCATACGCAAAATCCTCACCCACTAAGCAGTTCGCAGTAGAGATAATCGAAAAGTCCTTTTCCGTATGCTTATGACATTGTGTGTGGAAATTACTCGAAAATGCGCCACTCTCATTCACTTTTTATTAGTAATGACATGTTGAGACTGCAAGCCTACTTATCGCTCCACCCACCTGATGCATTTTATTGACGATCCTTACCCATCAGGATAATAACTGGTTGTACCACTCCATTTTGACAGAAGCCTTTTGATTTGGTCCGGGTTGATTAGCCACTGATGATCGCTTAATTCATCAACAC